AAACTGGGAGGATTAGCTGATTCACCAGAAGGCTGTGTGGCCATTCAGCAAGATTTGGACAGACTGGAGAGCTGAGAAAAGAGGAACCTAATGAGGTTCAACGTGAATAAGTGTAGAGTCCTTCACCTGGGGAGAAAAAACAACATGCACCAGTACAGATTAGGAGCCGACCTGCTAGAAAGTAGCTCTGTGGAGAAGGACCTTGGAGTCCTGGCAGACAAGTTCTCCATGGGACAGCAATGTGCCCTTGTGGCCAAGAAGGCCAGTGGCATTCTGGGGTGCATCAAGAGGAGTGTGTCCAGCAGGTCAAGGGAGGTTCTCCTCCCCCTCTACTCTGCCTTGGTGAGACCCCACCTGGAGTATTGTGTCCAGTTCTGGGCTCCCCAGTTCAAGAGGGACAGGGATTTACTTGAGAGAGTCCAAAGGAGGATGATGAGGATGATTAAGGAACTGGAACACCTGTCTCATGAGGAGAGGCTGAGAGACCTGGGGCTGTTCAGTCTGGAGAAGAGAAGACAGAGGGGATCTTATTAATGTATACAAATATCTGAAGGGTCAATATCAAGAAGGAAGGGCCAATCTCTTTTCAGTCATGCCCTGTGATAGGATGAGAGGCAGTGGAAACAAACTGGAACACAGGAAGCTCCACCTCAACATGAGGAAAAACTTCTTTACTGTAAGGATTACAGAGCACTGGAACAGGCTGCCCAGAGAGGTTGTGGAGTCTCCTTCTCTGGAGACCTTCAGGACCCGTCTGGATGCCTTTCTGTGTGACCTACCCTAGGTGGTCCTGCTCTGGCAGGGGGGGTGGAATCAATGATCTCCAGAGGTGCCTTCCAACCCCTGACATTCTGTGATTCTGTGTGCCTTGACGTTGATTCAAAGTGAGTCATGTATGTAATTCTGCCCTTATCTGGAAGATGTCCTTGCTTTGTATCAGCACTCTGAGGTGGTCTACTTGTATGCTTGCGTGTTTTTGATGAAGATATTTTATTTGGCCTGCTTCTGTTGGCTGGCAGGAAATTTTCCAGAACTCCTCCATTCAAAAACCACTCAAGATTGTGGTAAATCCAAGTTAGTTTTCTAATCTCAAGGGAAAATGGTGAAGGTGGCAGCTTTAGTATGGCACTTGAAAACAGTGCACTGGGTAAATAACTTCCAGAGGTTTATAACTGGTGAAGAGTTCATTTGTTGTGTGGTGTTGGAATTTGATGTCGGTGTGTTGTGTTGAATGGGGTTTGGCTGAAGGACCCTTGAGAAGGGAGTGTTTGCTGCAGGAGGTTATTGCAAGATGGGAGTTACTCAGTGAAGTAGAAATAGGGTAATTTTAGTGAGTATTTGATTAACAGACTCCACTTTTTCTGAAAGTTACTCTGAACTCAGTTGGAGGTCTGTGCTAGCTTTAACTGTGAAGTGAAGAGAAGCAGAGCATCTCAACCATCCTGTTTTTGAGAAATTAGTCTCTCTGTTGGTGAGATAGGGTCACTGCTAGAACTTGGGTGCAATGGGACAGGAGCTCTGCACGGTTCTTTATCACTGCTTTGGTGCAGCTACGTGTGGTCTGCACTCATTGGGTAGTTGTCTTTGTGTTGGGCCTTTCGTTTTAGGATAGTGTCTGTTTAAATACTGCTTTTGCCTAGTGTGAACAACTTGGAAATTAGTCCTGCCTGGGCAGGAGATTGGACTAGATGACCTCCAAAAGTCCCTTCCAGGATAATTCCTTGGTAAGGACTGCATCAGTGGCTAAGTACTAAGCAGTGATCTTTTGCCTGTCCAGGGTGTTGTAGGGTACACTCCTCTATCAGTTGGGCAATACCTACAGCAGACTGCTGGAAATTCCTGCAAACTTTCTTGTGATGAGGGTTATGGGGTACTCTTCCCATTCACCTCTGAGCACTGAAACCTGACAGCCTGGGGAGAGCCACCTTCAGAAACAAACTCAGGTGACTTCTGTTCCCCATGTCTGTGCTAAGTGCAGCCTCCTCTGTGGCTTTTTAAGGCCTGCTGGCGTGAGGCAACATCAGTGCTGGGAAGGAGAGAACTGCCGCGTGGTTGTTATTGCTTTATAGCAGCTCTTTAGCTTTTGACACCAGCACGGAGTGTTTGTGTGCCAGTACCCAGTGTGACAGAGTGAGTGGCTTCTGTGCCCTTTGGAGTTTACTAATTAGGTGCTCCACAGAGCGGGAAACTGAGGGTGGAGGAGATGAAGTGTCAAAGTCACAGAGGGAGCAAGTCAGGACCGGGTCTGACTGAGGAGAGCCTGGAGACAGACCAAAACTCTATTGACTGTTGTTTCTAGAAGGGAAGCTGGTATGTTATGATAGCTGAAGATGTGATTCACTGTTTGTGAACCTCCTTACACCTTTGAATGCTGTACTTCATGCCATAGGTGCATTCTTCTCTTCCCTCCACCCTGAACCTTCCTGCTAGTGGGAAGCATCCCCCGCCCCCGGTATACTCAGTTCCTAACAGGATGCTTCATACCAAGTAATCAAGCATACCAAGTTTCTTAGCCTGTGACACATCTTAATGTGCCAAGGAATAATTCTTAGCAAAGAAGGGGATGCTGAGTCATCTGGAAAAATAAACAGTCCATGGACACCTAACCCATGCTTCTTTAAGTGGTTTTGTAACTTCAAACCTTCACTGTTGCCACAGGGAAGAAGCAAACAGTGACTCCTCCCAGGAAAGGGGAGTGAATTCAAAGCTTAGGCAGTGCTTTAGAATTCTGACATGCGGCCTTGAGTGCGTCCAGCTGTACCAATCATGATTTTGCTGTCCCTTTGACAGTGGGCAGAGTGTGTACCCATGCCTACACCCTGCCATGGGACAGCAGACCTCTCCTATCCTCAGTATGTAGTGGTGGGGATGAACAGGCTTATCTTCTCCGGCCACCAAGGCCACCATACCTGCCAGTGTTACAG